TTATTTAATAACTCTTGTGCTCGACTAGAATCAGTTGCGGGACTAGATGCACAACTAGATAAAGAAGATCCAGGTATGGACTTTCGTTTCGGTTGAAAAAATCGCTCCATAATCTGCAAAATGCCCCAATTTATTTTTTAATCAAAATTGATTAAAAAATAGTCTACACATAATTTAATTGAGCCTAACATTTTCTTCATTAATTCTTTTCACTTTTCCCTAATTTTCTAAAAACCTAAATTACCAAAATCCCCAATATTCTTAGATTCACAAATCACAAATCTGAAATCCTTAGCCAGGCTGCGGGCGCAATATTCTTAGATTCACAAATCACAAACACATTACAATTTAAAATTACACATTCATAATTTCATATAATCATATTATATAAACAAAAACAAAAGAACAAAAACTCAAAAGTCAAATCTGGATTAACTAAATTAACAAACAAATTAACCATAAAAAACAAAACATAAAGACACTAGAGAGTAGAGAAGAGGACTGACCGTCTGACCGAGACCGAGAGAGCTCTGAGAACTGAGAAGCTGCTGCCTGCGTCTCTGCGTGCTGCAGTGTCGGTGCTGGTCGCCTGGTCCTGTTGGAGTGCTGGTGCGAAGAAGCTTCCCAGCTGCTGCTCTCCTCACTACCTCAGCCGTGGCCCATGCACTGCGACACCGATCACCGGTGGTCTGCTGGAAGCCTGGAACTGGTGGTGCAGCGGCTGCAGCCACAGCCCACAGGTAAGCTTCGTCTGCTTCGACCTTCGAGCCATCGCCATTGTCTCTCCCGCCTCACCTCTTCTCTCTTTTCGTTTGGGTAATTGCCAATTGGGTTTGAATGATTGAATCAATTGGGAATTTGGGATTTTGATCTTAGATTTGGACCTTGTAGAAATGGGTTGGTTGCAAGCCATTGGGCCTTATTATTTAAAAATAATAGGCCCAAGCTCAAAACAAAATTACGAAGGAAAAAAAAAATTGGCTGATCTTCTTCATCGACGGCTCTGCAATTCTTCCCGACGGACCCAGCACGGGCGACCGCGGGAGCTGACCAGGTGCTGGGTCCTGATCTTGATTTCTATGCATCATCACAAGTAGTTTAATTGTTGTGAAAATCAGAAAATCTAACCATTTTCTTGACAATCATCATAAATTTCAAATCCACAAATCCTGATCGTTCATCCCAATCACATCAAAAAAGTATTTGCCAAGATCATCACTAGGTGGATCCTACCTGTCATCAATCATTACAAGGTTACATTTGAACCAAATGGCCCCACAACCTACTCACTCTCCCTCTCAACAAAAAAAAAAAAAATCACAAAACNTTACCACACGCAAAAAATGTCATTAAACAAGCCCTAAATTTACAGTCTTCTATGATTTTTCCCCCATTTCTAAGTTAAATGCATTGTACTTTCACTTTTAGCCAAAGTCCGATGAGTGCAGTCACATTCATAGATACAGAAAATAAGGCAAAACAAAAAAAATTCCCCACTGCCCCCTATCTTGTTACCCTATCTTTTTATCTGCTAAAAGCCCTTTTCTTTTCTATCTCTGCAAAAACTCCTCCATGCCCTAATGGCTTGAAAAGGGTATAGGGTTTATGTTCTGGTAAGTACTAAAAGCACGCTTCCTTATAGTGCATTTTCTTACCCATCTCTTCATACCCTTTTTTTCTGAGTTTTTTTCTCTTTTTTACTGCAAAAGTTCACTCTTTTCCCCCAATTTTACATTCCCCTCTCTGCGTGCATTTTCCTTCCAAAAATGGAGTCTCAAAACTGTGTATTTTTAACCATTTTTTCTTGGGATACTTCTTTTTTTGGGCCTACAGAGGTTTTTTTATGTGGGTTTTTTTATGATAATGCTTTTTTTTTTCCTTCTTCTTCTTTGCTTTTTCTCAGCTGCCGACAGAGCCGCTGGTTTTTTCTTCTTAGCTTTTTAGGGCTAACGTTTGAATTGAAAGTGAAAAGGAAATGAATAGAGGTGTCGTGTCATATAAGAAAAATCAAAAAAGAAAAGGACTTTTTCCCTCATTTTCTATTAATAAAACCACGTGCATTTTATCTTACATTTCCTGGTTAAGAATTTACTATTTCCATTTTCCACCAAAAATTTGATGAGCTGGAGAAAAATATATTTTAGTTTTAGTACATTTTTTTCTAATTTGTGTTTTTATTTATCATTCTCGTGTTATAATGATTGGCTACTATTAATTTGACAAGTACTTAATTAGTAACTACTGAAGTCTTAATTAGAATGTAAATATAGTATTTTATATAACAAGCGGGGAAGAAATCGCAAACAAACAGAGGATTCCAAGAATCTTATTCATAGGATTTCTATGTTTGGTTTAGTCTTTAAATGGTACCAAGATTTTCAAGAAAATTGGTCATTTTGTATCTTCTCTCAAAATTGTTCCATGTACATAAAACTCTCGTAGCCCATATGATAATGTTACGAATGTTTTAGTACTAATCCAATCTATTAGATAAAATCAATTTATTTGTTTTCCTTATTACTATATACGGATATCTTCTCTTACCTTAACCGATAAAATCAGCCTCCTTGTTATATTATTGATATGTATAAATATGACATATGATTGTCAGTTATCTTAGTCTTGGTCCTTGACTTGGCTTCCTTTTGCTAGATTGTGTTACATTGTTTGTTTTTTGCAAATTCCTCAGAATATGAATATGGTAGAACCTAAAAGCTGTTGGGATGGGATTGTTAATGGGGCCGCGGCCGATGAAGAGTTTGAGAGCATACTCAGTCTTTTGGATTTTCCCATGGAGAGTTTGGAAGGAGATGGATTGGTTGGAGAATGGGATGTGAGTAAGGCACAATTCCTGGGGCCTATTCCAACCGACACATTGATGGAGTTGCCACCAAATCCACGTGGCAAAAGTGGCACAGTGTTACCACATCCCCTGCCTAAATCGGTTGCTCCAGTGAGTTTAACATGCCAAGTTCTATGAAATTAGTGCGTCATATTATATATGCTGTAATTGACTGGTTGATGAGTTATCGTTTTAATACTTCTGGATCTGGATTTTTGTTCTTTAAATATTATTCTCATCTTTTTTGTAGAATGAGCAATTGTGTAGGGCATAGAGTCCGTGGGTCCATATTGAAACTGAGATGCAAGGACAAAAGATAAAAAAGATTATTTCCTCGACTGGCTTGAGATGTGTCAAGTTGATGCGCTTATAACTAGGGTATTAGTGTGGCCACCTACTAGGGGAATGACCCTCGTTGCAGATGAGCAACCTGAAGTGGTTGCTTCCAGTTGAAGGTAGGGTTCACAAAATCACCTGGCTGGGAGTGTGAGTTGCCAGACATCGGTTCTTACAAGGAGGGTTTGGGTTTGTAATGGTTCTAAGTGAGTACATTGCTGTTTGTTAAGTTAAGATTGGTTAGTGGGCTTATAAATACTTGGACAGCCTTCTCATACAAGTTAAGTTCTACTCATCTTTGGAACGAAACTTGTTGCAGTCGTGGTGACCTGTGGACAACTGCTACTATTCAAAGACTGGGTACCCAAAAGTCACCGAGCTCTGAATATGGGTTCCTGTGGATGTTAATTTTACAAGCAGAGAATTGTAACGATCTGAATTAAGTCCCACATTTCTAAGACTTGGTCTTTGACTTATAAGCACTTGGGCATCCACTCCTTAGAAGCTGGTTTTGAGGGTGGTTCTACTCCATGTGCTTGCGATTATCCTAGTAGTGACCTTAAATTACCAGTAGCACCACTTTTATAAACCATAGACATTCATGTTTAGGAATTGTCTGACTGCAATTGTCATCTAACCGATTTCTAGTGGGTCGCAAACATAAGGAGGTCATTACAGCATTACCAATAGGTATTCATGACTTGTTATTCCATGATGATGAAAAACATTCCAACTCCCCTATTGCCTTCTAATTTTAACTCTATGGACTCAGCACTTTCTATACAAAGTGTAAAGATTATGCTTTAGAGCATTCCTTCGTAACCACGTAATTGCGCATCTAGAAATGGAACTGTCATATGGTGTGGTACTCTGTTCCTTATGAAGCTTCACGTCGTGTTTATGAAATTCTGAATTCATGAAATTCAATGTGACTTGCTAAGCTTTCTAGTTTAAAATACATTTTACACATGGCAGCAGGGTGTTCAAAGCCGAGAAAAGTTGATATATCATTTATGATGCACTTGTTAGCTACTTGAAAATATGTGACCTCAATATCTGTCAAGGTCCACAGGTCATTCTGGAGTTTTTGCATCTCTCTTGATCTCAATTGGTGACATTCTTTGGAGCCAACACAAAATCTTTTCTGTTCTGACTGAATATTTGTGGTGATCATCAGACCAAACCCCTCCTTTGACGAAATTAGAATTATGACCGACTGTTGAACTGGTCATTATTTAAACCGAAGATGGGTACTTAACAGCATATTGTCTGCATCTCATGCAGGGTTCACTCCCCCTCTACCCCCCCCCCCCCCCCCCCCCCACCCCCCCCCCCAACCCCACCTTTATCGGGCTTTTGTGGTGGTTTTGTTGTTTAGTTGATGACCCGATACCACCATATTAAGTATTCATGCTGTATGCATGCTTTGTTTAAAGTTTTTGATCTTGTGTGGAACCTAGAATGCAGAACTAAATAGCTGTATAATCATTTTTATGCTTTATTTCTTCTATTATGCCATAATTTCTTCTCTGATCATTCTTTTGATTGCTTTACCATTAAGATTGATGAAACTCGTGAGCAAAAGAAGCTTCCAGAAGAAACCTCCAGCTCAATTATTCTCCGCCAGCATAAATTTACTGAGGCCCAAGAGTGCGGTGTTTTCCAGACGCAAAGCCCTGTTTCTGTGCTTGAAAGTAGCAGATGCTGCTCTGTTGGGAAGTGTGTGCCGATCAAATCTAAGCGAGTTAGATTTCTTCCATGGTCGTCAGCTGGCATTGTCATTCCAGTTCAAGCCAGATCTAAGCGAGTTAGATCCTCAACTGTAAACCCATGGCTTTCGATTTCTTCCACCTCTAAGAAGACTTCAAATTTCAGGAAGAACAAAGACAAGAGGAAGAAATTGTCCCAAATTCCAGTTGCCAATGAAACCATGGACAAGGAATTTCAGAAGGCTAAAGCTTCATCAATGGTGTCGGATTCTGTAGAGCTGCAAAATACTTTATTACAGCGGGTTGCAGCATCAAAGAAATGCACACATTGTGAAGTGACAAAGACACCGCAATGGAGGGAGGGACCAACAGGGCCAAAGACTCTTTGCAATGCATGTGGGGTTCGATACAGGTCAGGACGCCTATATCCAGAATATCGTCCTGCAGCAAGTCCTACATTTGTTCCATCGGTGCACTCCAACTCCCACAAGAAGGTGATAGAGATGAGAAACAAAGGTAAAGAACACGTGGCTAAGGTCGAGGAACCCCTAATTTCCCCACATCCCGGTTTTGTTCCCATGGGAAGCTATTTGTTCGATTTTATATGCTGAAATTAACGATGTGAGGATCTAGTTATTGGACCGGTTTAGTTCTAAATTTTTTTTCAGAATGTTTGTTTCTTGTTCTTTTTCCTAGATGTTTGCTGGTATGGTGACTTGTAGCTAGAATTGTGTACAAAAATGAAATGGAATCTTGAATAGTATGAAGGAGAAGCTGGATATGGTTTAGGCTTTGAATTTTTCCATTTTCATTTATGTTCTTTCTGAATCTTGTTTTCGTGGTGGTAAAAGTTTGCAGTTGCTGCATTTTGATTCTGATAAGATGTGAGTGTTTTATAAATATATTACCATATTTCTCTGAAAATTGTGAGTTAAACAATTGATGGCTAAGCTTAGAAATTAACTTATAAGTAAATAAATTATTAATATTATTATAAAAAGACTTAAGAGATGAGCCCAAATATTAGTTGATGGTTTTTGAGATGCTTCTTTGGAATATTGGGATAATGTATTTAGAAATTGTATCAGTTGAATTTGAATGGTATATTCATCTTGTTGAAAAGACCTTCAGCAAAGATGCTAGAAAATGAAAGCATAAAGTGTTAAGAAACCAAATTTCTTTCTAGCTCCTCTTTGGTGAAAATTTAATTTAAGTCGAAGTCAATAATTAATTTTAACTACACATTTTATAAGATTCATAATTTTTCATAACGTTTTCCATGAAAGGTGGGGACGTTATGTAATTATCCATTTGAAGAATTTCCCCGTTCCATCACATTCAGAACTTTCTTTATATACAAATCTAGGTTTTATTTCATGCATTATGCCAAGAAATTGATATCCATGATGCGATTTCATATTTTCCCGATTTCTTAGCTATCCATGAAATCCCTAATAGCCATGAAGAAATATTACACTTCAATCCGAAAATCATATAGTTTCGACCTTTTTCTTATATCATTTAAAGATTCTTTCACAAAATCCGCGATTCATACTAAGATTCCGTCGATTGGAAATTTTCCGGTATGTATGTAAACCCTATTAGTGGTCTAGACATGTCCACACAATCCCGTTTGAAAAAGAGTAAATATCCAACATAAATTCATATCCTCCAGTAGTTTGAAATCGGAAAATGGCAACACCAATTCATCGCTGCACATTGGGTTCGAGCAAGAACAAACACCTACTTGAAGGTACACCACAAGCTGCTAATTCGTCACGCCGTATCACGAATGTAGGGAATACTGCTTCAGATTATTGCTGAAACAAAGAAGAAGATGAACAAAAATGACTCGGATTGGTTTCTTATTTATAATGTAGTGAATACTGCTTCAAGACCATTGAAGGTTCCATCGCCGAACCTAGCACCAAAAAGAAAAGGATTTTGCTCCCACATAAACCACAGGCAAGTTACATTTTCAGATTACAAAAAATGGGAGAAAAAAAAATTGGCTTTACATTACGTATGAGATACTTGAACGAAATTACATATGTGCAAAAGTAAAGCTAATATCAGAATCATGGCCCTTTAAAAAATTGAAATGGAAAAATTGATGGAATGGCAAAAACCTTCGAGCCAAACACATCTAGATCTAACTCGGCGTGTCAACTATTCAAACATGGTGAAGTTGATTGAAGTATGCAATACAAATTTCGACCTTGTATCGCACATCATCAGGCATGACACGAAGTTGAAGGGTGTAGTGATCGACAACCATGTGTTGTCAAAATCCTACCTGAGAAGTAAAAAACAGTTTTTTATAATGAATGGATATGATGATATCAAATAGGATGTTGTCATCCAATATTGTCAACCAATGTTGTACATGTAGCATGATTTTTTATGTAAATGCTTTTGCTAGTTCACGGATATGCTACAATGTTTTCAATTAGTGAAATGACAATATCATCATTTTGCTCCCCGACAATCTTTCATTGAATCTGGTATTTTCATTGATAAATATGGATATGCCATGTTATGTTACACGGAATTATATATGCTTCTTTTTTTATACTATGGATGTTTTATTTCTGTTTTTTTTTTTTGGCCAACGACCTCCACTCCCTTCGTCCACGTAATGTGTTGTCATGTAATGTTTTCAGAGCAATGTTATGTGTACAAAATTGGATTACAAAATTATTTGACAAAATGAGTGGAAATAATTTTGGAATATTGCAATGACATCGCCCATTTCGGACATTGCAATGGAAATCATTTTAAAACAAAATAAAATTCACAGAATCTGCAATGGACGATTGAATGGCAAATTACGTGTCCTAGCCCAGCATTTACCATACTCGAATGGTAAACGGGGCGGGAAAAACAAACACGATTCATTTCTCGAATATTTCGAATTTGTCCGAAATATTTTATTTATTTATTTAATTTCATATGTTTCAATTCAAGACGTAGTGAAAAATATAATAATAATGATATAAATAAATAAACGGGACTATAAATTGAGATTTTTTTCAATTATTGCCAAGTTACCATCCCTATGACATTAATGTGGTTGTTACATATATTATCAGTGATCCTACATAGACATAAAAGAAGTGAACATTAAAAACCTCGTTTTACGCATTAATACTTGTGTACTGAACATAACACAAACCACATGTTTTTATTGTATCACTTCTTATATGTCATTATTTCGAGTAGGATGTCATGAGTATTTAATGACCACGTCAATGTCTTTCATTAAACAATGTGACAAAATTGAACGAAGTTACCCAAAATTTAAACAACATTCAAATATAGTGATTTAGGCAACACAACACAAAATAAAATAAAATGACTAATTTGAAAATTAAATCAAAGCATAGTGACCGTAAATACAAGTAACACGTACCATTTATGATCAATACAAAGAGTGGTCCAATGTACAAACAACATGAGTGGATGCGAGTGTGTCATCAAGTAGTTGAAGAACGTTGCTTGTCGCATGGTTATTGTCCTATGGAGAGTAAATTTAGCGTGTCTTCTTGTGCCTTTTGGACCTTTTTTTTTTTAACCTTCCTATATTATAATTTATATTTGCAAATTAGCCATTGCCAAATAAGTCGAGTTACCATTCAGGCTAGTTAATATGGACGAGTCTATTTAGATGATTCGATAAGACAATAGCAATGATTCGGGCGGTTGGTGGCCCCTCCCGAAGTTGCGAGTCCTTGTCGCTCTGCATGAGTGGTAGTGTCAAAATTCATAGGTTATAGGAGAACGTTCTTGTCAGTATTATTAATGATATTCTATTGACTCTGACGATCAAATTAGTAATTGGTAACAATAAAATCCAGTAAATTTACCTTTTTATGTATAATGAATGTATTGATATTTCTATGTGTAGAGATAGCAATATCTCGTCACATGCAATAGTAATTTATCTAGCTTTTTAGTGCGTGTAACAATACTTTCCCGACTTTCCTTGTACATTAATATGTTACTATATATTCCTTGTAGACATCATCATCATACCTCGTTCGTTTATAATGCTTATGTCAAGTTATCCGTGTTTGACGCAAGCACTAGCTAAGCACAATTTTTGAGATATCCATTTCAATTATAAGTATTTTATTATATTATTTGTTGATAAATGATCTCATCACGTTGAATCGTCAAATAATGTCACGTGAACACGAAAATAATCTACAAAATCTTTAAATACGTCTTAGTTGTCATGTGAATTGAAAGAACGTTTCCTTTGTCAAATGCTAATAAATGATGGGAAAATATGTCAAGGAGAGATCAATATATAGACTTAATGCATAAACGTAATGGGATTATAAAAATTGAAGTTTACATTTTTTGTCCTTAATCTTTGCTAAATGTAACACATTTATTATTGGTCCTTTTTAGCATAAATTATCACTAACATTTTAATTATATAATAAAATTCGTCACTACCTCCATTTCGACCATTAATTGATGAACTCGTCATTCTCTTTGACAAAAAAAGAGCCGTAAAACAGCATAAAATAAGGTTAAATTGCAAATACAGTTTCATAACTTTTCAACAAGTAAAAGTAAATCTCAATCGTGCTATAAGTAAAGATTTTTATGACATAAATTTTTGATAGAAAACATTTGGCGTGACAACATTGGAAGATGGAGAAAAAAAACCAATCGTGTTCGGTAACATCAACGTAGACATCAATTCTGTTAAAATTTTCCTGTACTTAGAGCTTTTTATTGTAAAAAAAACTTCATCTACCCCAACCAAGTTCACCCACCCACGCCATTCATTCCTAATCCACCCTCACGTGCAGTCAAATAAATACCAAGGATTATTCAACAACCCGCAACATTTTTGAACACGCTATCTTTCAAAAAATAGACTAGTGTCCATGTATGTTAATGTTGTACATAAATGTGTTCGAAATCAATGACTAGAATTGTGAATAACGTGTGACATTTTACGTGGATAAAGAATAGACCAATATGTGCTACTATCTTCTAACATTCATATTCTGAATATTATCTTAAATAATTGGCTTACTTAGGTAGTTTATCTCTTTCAATGTAAATTTGCATGTGGAATTTTACCATAATTTGTGTAATATTTAAGGTGGAGCAATTCTTTCACAACATTAATTCACTTTAGCCGTCTATTAATTAGCACTTTCAATATGTTTGATCGATGCCTTGTAAGAATAGGGAATAGACACATCCACAAGAGATGAGATTTGCTGTCCAAATGACCGTCCAGCCAATGAATTATTGACATGTCATCAATTTGATTGGTTAGTGGTGAAGTTAATAAGGGTAAATTTGAGATGATATATTAATTATTGATAACATGTCAATAATTCATTGGATGGACAGCTATTTGGATAGCAAAATTAGATAACGGAATTTGACATGAATCTTATTGTTTTAAGAAACAGATCGTTTCAACAAATAAGTTCAGATCGCATGCTTAAATTCTTATTATACTTTCATTTACTAAAAAGTCAAATGCAACTAGATCATTTGCAACCACAATCGATTTTAGATGTTCGCTTGTAATTCTTTAATTCTAGACGTGTCGCATATGGACATTCACTTAGACGGAATTTCAGCATCTAAATGCACGTGACATCAACATAATGACGGAATTTCCTTAATACTTCTAAATATAAAAGGATTCTATTTTCAGAATCCCTCCTTTTTTCATTAGCCTCCCACTTTCTATATTCTTCTTCAATTGAAATTGTGCCATACCATATTTGTAATATTGGGCCTTTTATTTTATGCCAATATTATTTTGACTATTTTATTTAATTTCATAATTGTGCCATACAATTTTATTTTTTTAACAATCTTGATTGATAACTCACACTACAACATCACATTCATCAATTTTAAAAACTCTTTTTTAAATCAATAGTCTATATTTTGACAACATCAATGTTGTCAACTATGATTATCAACAATACTAGGCAAATGGAATTTGGGTTATTCCACTTTACCAGAAAAGTGATTAACAGATGAAGTAATATAATGTTAGTTGACAAAATGTGATTTGATGAATAAATTTTGTTCAAAATAATTCAATGATAAAGTGTCATATGACATTATGTTAACCATCCTGTCAAAAATTATGTCTGTATAGCATGATTCATGGAATTTCCCTTGGCACTAGCATGTTAAGACTTTTTGGCAAAACTTCTAACTTAAGCCTGAATTGAAATTGATTATTTGGAAGCCATTTTTCTCATACATTCATTTGTTATTATACATTTTTCAAAAAAATAAAAACAAAAAATTATTGTTACATTTTCCCAAAAATTTTCCTATTATTTTTATATTATTTCATAAAGTTTTCCTACTTTTTAACAATATATTTTTCAAAAATATCACTTTCCAAATAATCACTCCCATACAAGGAATAAGTAAATTCAAAAACAATAAAGCTAGCCTCTAGATACTTTATTTGTTAAGCAATTAGATTTTTAATTTTTTAATTTTATTTTTTTATTTGCCCCTACTGACTACCAGAGCATCATCTAATGAGCAAGCACAAGCACGACATTAATAAACACGCATTTGCCTGAGGGAATGGTTATAGTCTTAGACATAACGCTCATCGATTTAGGGGAGAGAATCCACTCCTCAAGAAAACATGAAGGTTGATGCCCTCCATTCCTATCGCAAGGAAGGCAGGGAATAGCACTAATCTCAGGGACATGTTCAGAATGGGCAGTTTTCGTACCTGAATCAAATGCACTGCTTGGATCGACAACTGGGCAATAGAACATGGTGAATCGCAAGTGGAGCTATTAGTTAATCTTTTAAAGTTGGGAATGAGAATAAGACAAAATATTGGTAAGGGACGTGATTCATACTTTTGTAAAAGTTGAGACTTCATATGCAATTTTCCCTTAAAATAAAGTCCATGAGTCAAACTAACAGTCTTTTTCGACGGAATCCATCAAGAAAATGACCATTTGCACCAAAATAAAAAGACTCGGAATCCTTTACACCATTTTTGAAAGATTTGGACCAATTGCATAATATGGGCAAAGGTCAAGATCATTTTGAGCCATTTTCCCATTTACAAAAGAAGGATTGAGATAGTGTAAACATTGAATTCCCTTGAAATGAAGTGATGTCCATGAGTCAAAAAAACAGTCTTTTTGGACGGAATCCATCGACAAAATGACTTTTTGCACCAAAATGAAAAGATTTCAAATCATTTACACCATTTTTGAAAGATTTGGACCAATTGCACAATATGTTCAAATGTAAGGATCATTTGCGCTAAATAAAAAAAAAAAAGGATTGAGCTAGTGTTAACTGTAAACATTAAACAAGGCCAAATATGTCTTTTCAACTATCCCGCTCATAAATCTCACGAGATATCTCTCAGCTCTCCACCACGATATTTTCTCAACTAATCACTAAACAAACATCTCCTATTCTCTACTTATTTAATTATTAAAGTTAAATAATAATTATATTCGTTTCACACTACTCTATCAGAATATATATATATATATACAGAATTATTAAAATGTTTTTTACTGACATTTAAATATCTTTACGTCTAAATTTATAATTTAAAGTCCAAAGTAATTGTTCACGTCTTCTCAAATTCCCTTCTACTTTTGCACTCAAAGGCAAATCTTCTTCCCAACCGAAGAAAGTCATTTGCATGCTTTTGTTACTTTCGAAAGGCTTATCCTACAAAAGCTACTGAAAATATCTAAACGATAAACTTATTTAAAGTTGAATTTTTTTTATTTCGTCGTTTTCAGAACTTTCGGTAACATAGTCCAGACAGTATCGGCACTAACAAACACAATTATACTAAACACAGCCGTAAAAATATGTTTTGAAGTTCCATATCCACTCGAGTGGATAGATGAAACAAGATCGAAGAAAAGTATTGCAAATAAAAAGTTGAAATATTAAAAGGGTAATTCGTTAGTTAAATAATTAATTAATCATTTCTCTTAATTAAAAACTCACATTGGATCAGGTCTGAATAAACATATCAGTAGCAGACAAAACAGGAATCAGGTGAGAAAGAATTGGAGACCTCTGAACGTTGTCGTTTTATATTCATACAAACGGGAGAGAGATTTATTAAGAATTTGACTGATAGAGTGAAAGAGTATTTTCCGTTGGTTATTTTGTTTAACTGTACCGACGGTTTTCAGGGAGATGTTTTGTGTTAATTTTAGCAGTAGAATCTGAGATTTATACTCAGGTTTTCTTTTCATTTCAAGTATTGTTGTTGAATCTCGCATTTTCATCGCCGATTTCCTCTGCTTATATGCACCACAAACCCAGCCGCATGCATTCACGCTGTTCAGGTGTAAAAAAGCTTCGTAGTCTCAATTTTTTTTTTCAAAGTAGATTTGGTTATAGATCTTTATTTGTACTGTTGTTATTAGTTTACTGCATTTTGATGTTAATTGTTGTGTTCTTTGTCCTATCTTCTAAAATCCTGCTGATTTTACTTTAAACTTGAACTCCTTTTCCTCAATTTTTGGCTTTCTTGATTTTTCACATTTCACAGTATTTATTGAAGAAGGTAGATAAAGGAAAGCAGAGATCTTTTGTTTTGCTCTTAAAGACAACGGGAAAAGGATGAAGGAGGCGGTGGGAAAGACTTTGGACTCGGAGTTGTGGCATGCCTGTGCTGGAGGCATGGTCCAGATGCCTCCAGTGAACTCCATGGTCTTCTATTTCCCTCAAGGACACGCTGAGCATACTCTCACTAGTGTGGATTTCACTGCCCTGCCTAGAGTTCCACCTATGATTCTCTGTAGGGTTGCTGCGGTGAAATATTTGGCAGACCCCGAAACTGATGAGGTTTACGCAAGGATTAGGCTGATCCCAATTGAGAACAATAAACACAGTTTTGAAGATGATGGAAGTTTGGGGAGTAATGGATCTGAATTGAATGAAAAGCCCACTTCTTTCGCAAAAACACTGACCCAATCTGATGCAAACAATGGTGGGGGGTTCTCGGTCCCAAGGTACTGTGCAGAGACAATTTTCCCGCGGTTGGATTATACAGCTGATCCTCCTTTGCAGACTTTAATAGCCAAGGATGTTCATGGGGAGACTTGGAAGTTTAGACATATCTATAGAGGGACGCCAAGAAGGCATTTGTTGACCACTGGTTGGAGTTCCTTTGTGAATCAGAAGAAGCTGGTTGCAGGGGATTCAATTGTATTTTTGAGGGCAGAAAATGGGGATCTTTGCATTGGAATTCGAAGAGCCAAGCGCGGTGTTGGCTTTGGTGGGCATGAGACCCCATCTGGGTGGAACTCTAGTGGTGCTGGAAATTTAGGGGGATTTTCAGCCTTTCTGAAGGAAAATGAAAACAAGCTGATGCATAGAGGTGGTAATAATGGGAATCTAATGGAGAGGGGGAGAGTCAAGCCTGAATCGGTTTTCAATGCCACACTCCTTGCTGCCAGTGGCCAACCTTTTGAGGTGGTTTATTACCCATGTGCAAGGACGCCAGAGTTTTGTGTGAAGGTGTCATCCGTGAGAGCGTCTATGAGGATCCAGTGGTGCCCTGGAATGAGGTTCAAGATGGCTTTTGAAACTGAGGATTCCTCACGTATTAGCTGGTTTATGGGAACTATAGCTTCTGTTCAGGTTGCTGACCCCATTTGCTGGCCTAATTCAATGTGGCGTCTTCTTCAGGTAATTCAGTTCACTTGAGTATTATCATTATAACCTTCTTAGATTGAACTTTATTTTCTGAAGTTCAGTTTTAACTTTTGTGTTTGCATGTTGCCTAAATATCTTGTTTATTTTGATTTGTTATGTTGGTAACTTGGTTTGTCAAATTTTTTGATGCATCTGGTTGTTAATGGAGTGTAACAATATATTCCTCTAGCGGTTCTTCTGTTCTTCTTCCTCTTCAACAATTTGGTGCTCACATTCTTTTTCCCCTCGGATTCATGTGCAATATCTCTCTTGTTCAAACTAATGGAAAATGGATGCAAGGATGATCCTGGTGGGTGAGATACGATGCCAATTCTTTTCTTAAAGCTACAACCTTATGACCCTCAAGTTGTATATCATCATTTTTCTCTCCAGTCTCAACAAATGAAGTTTTAACCACATTACAACTTCATATAAGCAAGCCTTTTACAGAAGCATCATAATATCTACTGCATTCACCAATTCCTTTGTTAGTTTGAATGCCAACTTACTAAGACTCTTAACCATGTTCCAAAGTTCGTAATTATTCCCTTTATTTCCTCTCTTTTTTTGCCTCAGTAAATTAATTACATTTTCTGTTATGTCCTTGTCTGCTAGAGAAATTTTCTTTTTTACCTTCCCTGATAAATTTTTGTATAGCTGCACTGTTTGTGGAGAGAGAGAGATGACTGGTGCGGCATTGTTCATGTCCATCCCATGCTAATAAAAATTTAGCTGGAGATAGTGCATCAATTGATTATTCTTTCTACTCCTATGCTTAGTACTTTCCATTACTTTTGCATCACGGCTGCCCAAAGTTTCTGCATTGCTGCAATTTTTGAGATTGCTGTTTCTTTCCATTTGTTTTTATATCTTCCCATTGCAGGTGACGTGGGATGAACCAGATTTCCTGCAAAATGTGAAGTGTGTTAGCCCATGGCTAGTTGAATTGGTCTCAAATATGCCTGTTATTCATCTGTCACCATTCTCGCCACCAAGGAAAAAGTTGTTTTTACCGCATCATTCAGATTTTCCAATTGACGGTCGCTTTCCCATGCCATCATTTTCTGGCAATCCCATTGGACCAAGCAGTACCTTTAGTTGTCCATCTGACACCATCTCTGCAGGTATACAGGGAGCCAGGCATGTTCAAATCGGAGTCCCTTTAGGACAAAGCAGTCCCTTTAGTTGTCTATCTGACACCATCTCTGCAGGTATACAGGGAGCCAGGCATGTTCAAATCGGAGTCCCTTTAACGGATCTCCACTTTAGCAACAAACTGCAGTTGGGACTGTTACCCAGTGTCCTGCATCTTGATCCCCATGCTAAAACTTCTGATGATATTGTTGGAAACCGCATGGATAGTAATGAAAATATATCTTGCTCGTTAAGTATGGGGAATTATAGTAAGAAGTCAGAGAAAACTGACCATGTAATAACGCCTCGGTTTGTACTCTTTGGTCAGCCGATACTCACTGAGCAGCAGATGTCTCTTGATTGCTCTAGTGATGCAGTTTATAAACTGTCATCGGTAAGGAGTTCCTCAGGTGGGACACCATTCAAGGCTGAAAAATCTGTTTTTGACCGACAAGGTATTCCAAGAAGTTTGTCCAATGCTCAGTTCTTGTGGAAGCCAGGCTGTCATGCACCTGAAGTTGCACTGGATACTGGTCACTGCAAAGTATTCTTGGAGTCAGAGGATGTGGGCCGGACCGTTGATCTATCAGTTCTTGGATCATATGAAGAGCTATATAAAAGGTTAGAACACCTGTTTGGGATTGAAAAATCTGAAGTGATGAGTCTTGTGTTCTATAGTGATGCAGCAGGTTGTGTTAAACAAGCTGGAGATGAACCGTTCAGGTAGACATACATTAAATTTTTTTTTGTAACATCTGGAATTTTACACTTGAAAGGCATTAATGTTTTCTTGATTCGCATTCTGTGGACATTTTTTGTCCATTTTCTTGTCCTGCAGTGAGTTCATGAAGACAGCAAAACGATTGACAATTCTCAAGAGACCCAGTAGTCAAAGTGATGAAAGGTAAGATCTTGTGTTCCATGCTAATCTATGTATTTTTGAGATTATGCATCAAGTGAAGCTCTTCCAATATGATGGTGCAAGAAAGTGTGAAATATGCTTGTTTATCCTCATTCTCATTTTGGATGTAACTCATTGAATTGAAAGTACATTGATTTTGTATTTCAGGAAATTGATTACTGGTGTGCCGACTGCTGAATGTGGACTAGATTCAACTAACCGTGCAGGACCCATGAGCGTATTTGTTTAGTAGCATTCGAGTCGAAGTTGGAAATTATGTGTGAATGTCTTGATAAAATTGTGGTTGTTTGCTTTATCATGTAGGAATTTGGAAGAAACTTGACCTCAGTATGTAAAAATGGATTGATGATAGCTTCAATTTTGTGAAGTTTCCACCATTATGTCTAGCTAAGGGTGTAGCTTGGTGTAATGGATATTTGTGTGTATTTTTCATGTGAGATTGTTGATGCTAGTCTTATATTTCTCAGATTATGTGCATTAGTCATTTGTTCTATGGTCTTGTGTTTGATGTGATGGTTATTGGATTGGACTTTCAAATATAGAAATATAACTTAGCCCCTATCAAAAATAGACAAGAATATATTGACTGATACAGCCATACAGGACTAAGGTTAGACGCCCTCTTTAAGAACTCTATTCTTGATAAACTTTGTCATAAAGAAGTATAGATACTGAAATTGGTATTAATCTTCTCGGTGTATTCTTATCTACTTGGAATATAACTTTGTTATGAGTCCAAATTTCTCGTCTCACCTCGTTAATCTTATCATTATGTTACATTACATAAAGATGATTTATTCGAGAAAATTCATATTTGATATTAAGGGTCTGTTTGACATGACTTTTGTTTCTTGTAGAAGAATTTTTATATGATGTTATTTTAGGCCGATTATGTGTAAAAATTCTTCAAAACAGACAAAGTAACTTCTTAATCTCAAAAATAATTATTAACTTCTCAAAAATCCTGTCAAACGAATGTTAAAATACTCAAAATATGAGCAAATGGATGGGTTCTTGAATGAGTTTGAAAACATGTTGACAATCCCCACGTTGTAAATTGACACAACCCCATTATTGAATTGTTACGACAACTATTGAGGTTTGGTTTTGATCAAAAATAAATGATCACGTCACGTGTGGTTTCCACTCCACTCGCCGCCTTGGTGCTCGAGACCGTAGTGTGTTTAATGGCCCTAACATTAATGCCATCTTTGACTAAATAATTCTTGATTAACACACTAATGATGTCCGTTCCTTGAACCAACTTTTTCAAACTGAAAATTATTGAAGAAATATTTTTTTTACGATTATACTGTTAAATCATGCATAGTGCTACCATGTAAAAGCTCTATTGTCTGGTTTACTTTAATTATGATAGTGTGAAAATTTGTAAGTGAATGATGAAAGCACAATACAATTTTTTTTTTTTTATCATTTAATGAGATTTTTTTAATGTTTAATGATTTTGACACTTGTATGATGTAAATTTTAAGAATTATTTTTTGAAGAGGGAAAGGTAATAGGTTCACAGGCACAATTATTTTATTGAAATAACGTGTGATAGAAAATTGATTTGAGAAAAAATTGAATTTTAAAGAATTTGTACCAAATATATGCTTAACAATACTTTAAAAAAAAAAAAGATAATATAATCATCTTGGGAAACGGTCCGAAAGGTTACTTAAATACACAAGTCGGGCTCGAACTTATCATAGTAAGATATGAGTACAATTCAACAGATATGGAGTTTGTAAGTGTGCATCTTCAATACATTATATGCATTGCTATATTGATGGCAGGGAAGTCGAAAGATTTTCAATGTATGTTGAATTGATATCAAATACGAGACGTTCAAGTCTAAAATTAATTTCAAATGCATTCTAAGAATCGCAATTTAAGTACATTTTATTCTCTTCAAATAAAAATAAAATCACATCAAGCTTGCCGCGTTGAGGAAGTTTTTATATATAACTTAAATTATAAATATATAATAATGAATCGTGAATAAGTGAATAGTACATGTGAATTTCACGAAATGTGTAGATAAAAAGTTATTTGATTAATTGCAAACAATTTATAAAAAGTTGCCAAACATTAATGAAATATTTATTTTGTTGAGTCGCTCTGTCTAAAAAAATCTCTCGAAGACAAGTTTTATACATTATCTATTTTTTTTCACGTCATTCATTTTGACGGAATCTCAATCAACTTGCACTAGAGGTGATTTTTCTTTAAAATAAAATATCTTCAATTTTCATTTATGTGGCAAAAAGAGAGGGAGAGAGAGAGAGAGAACAATTCATGGTAGCTTTAAAGATGCTTTTATGCTCGACGAGACATGATTATTGATGTCCGAACCTATGTATTATGTAACATGTAGATAAAATACAACATAAATCAAAAATCAAGAAGTACAACAACTTACTAACTCTAAGAATGAGGATGCTATAGTTGCACAAGTTTGGGTTGTCCTATGTAATCTAAGATCATATTATCACTTGACTTGACATGCAACAACTTAATTCAAGCATGACATCATTTGTGTGTTGCGACTAATCAAATCGAAAAGTCCTTCGTGTAAGAAATCTTATAATGGGAGACAAGCATAGCATATCAATATCAATGTATGTAATCATTTCACAAATCCCACAACTAATCTTAGTTTCTACAATGTTCATTTACACTTCTAAGGTCAAAATTATAATTCTAAAAAATTGAGGAAAACAAGGGGCAGGTTCAGCCAAAACTAGGGGTGGTAAACGAGTCGAGTGATTCGTGAGCTCGGCTCGGCTCGACTCAAGGTCATATTTTTTTCACGATTCGATTTCGTTTGGAATCGTGAGTACGAGCTCACGAGCTGTCTCATTTGGGCTCATCTTTACGAGTCAAGTCGTTTGGACTCGTGGGTCGACCCGTTTTATTTCCTCATCTTTGGACTTGATTTATTAATTTTTCTAAAAGAAATTGCTCTTTTTGGCTTATTTTGTGAATTTATTTAAAAAAAAAAAATCAAGTTGGCTCATGGACGGCTCAGTTTGTGAGGCCAACGAGCCAAAAGGACCAAATTGATCATAAATTTTGAACACTAGCCAAGCTCAGCTTGTCCATAGGAAGAGCCACCCCTAGCCAAAACCCTGATTTACGTCATGCCCCTCTTTCGTTCAGTCAAAATTAAGATATTTAATATATTTCGATAAATGTTGATTAATTATTTAGTTAAATAAATTATAAATATCATGAAAGTGTGAATTATGATTAAGATTAATTATTGAGTTTGATTTAAATTTTAACCCATTTTAAATATGAAACCAAACGGGGCCAAATTCAATTCTCATTATTCCAATATTATGGACCCTCCATTGCTCTATTTGCATAGGGATTTTAGCGATAATATTTTTACAAAGCGTGTCAAATTTGTCCAGCTCGAATTGATTATCTCGACAAGTAAATAGATTGATTACGAACCTACTCCTATTTAAAATAACTAGTCACGGCTAAACGTGCGTTGCACATTATTTTGAAATGTTTTATCAACGCAATACAAATGATATTTGAAAATCAGTTAATATAAAAAATAGTTAAAAAAANAAAATGATATTTGAAAATTAGTGAATATAAAAAATAGTTAAAAAAACTGTTTATGTGAAATGAAATTTTTATACAATTCAATTATTTATTTACGTGTATGATAATAATTAACCTTAATTTATATATATCATACTATAATTCAATCAATTAATTCTTCAAGTTCATGTATGTACACTTTATATATTTTGGGGGTTGTTCAATTACTCTAAAAATATTGAAATACTACAATTCGATTACTTATGTATGTGCGTGTATGCTAATTAACATTTATTTATGGATATATTAAATATAACATTCAGTCATCAAGTTCATGTACGCATGTTTTGGGAGCTATTCAATTATTTTAGGAGTAAATAAATTATTCAAGTTCATGAACACACATTTATTTTCAAGATTATTCATTTTATCATAAATTATTCTAGAAGTATATAAATTATTAAAGATCATATAATTTGGGAGCTATTCAATTATTATAGGAATAGATAAATTATTCAAGTTCATGTACACTTATTTAATTTCAATATTATTCATTTAATCTATGATATAACGACATTTGTCTAAATATATACATATTATTTTTTTTCTATATTCATTGATTCAAATTAATTAAATTCCATGTTGGTTCATATATACTCATTTGTTTAAATATATATAAATTATTATTTTTCTATATATATTAATTCAAATTAATTAAATTTTATGTTGATTCACTTACACCCTCTTTGTTTAAATGTATATACATTATTCTTTTTCTATATTTATTGATTTAAATTAATTAAATTTCATGTTCATGAATCAATTTGATTGTTCTCATACAATTCAATTATTGATTTGCGTGCATATTTAATAATTAATATTCAATTAAATATATATTGAAAAACGAAAAGTAAGGTACTATTGAAATAGTTAAATTGTAGAAGAGTTAAAATCGTCCAGAAAATGATTCTCATTTGATGCGATATTTAATATATAATAGATGTATATAAATTACTATTTTTGTATATCTATTAATTCAAATTAATTAAATTTCATGTTTGTTCACTTACACGGTTACAACCCATTTGTTTAAATGTATATACATTATTCACTTTCTATATTCATTGATTCAAATTAATTAAATTATATGTTTATGAATTAATTTGATTGTTCTCATACAATTCAATTATTTATTTGTGTGCATATTTAATAATTAATATGCAATTAAATATATGTTGAAAAATGAAAAGTAAGGTACTATTGAAATAATTAAATTATAGTATGGTTAAAATCGTCCAGAAATTGATTCTCACTCAATGAGATATTTAATATATTATAGATTTAATATCCCCGATTATTTACGGAATGTGATAGTTAGTAGTAGTAGGCTGGTTCCATCTATCGTGAATTGATAACGTTGGAAAAGTGAAATCTTATCGCAATTCTAACTAAAAATGTTGATTATGTAGAGAGAGAGACACCAATCTTGAATTTGCTTACAAGATAGTTTGTTTAAATAATTGACAAACTTTACTCAAAACAAAGTATTCACACACATCTGAAATATAAAATTTCCTTGAATTTATATTAAAAATAAAATGGAATACTTGTAATCCAAGTGCACTAAATAAATCAAAGAAAAATTAAGGTTAAACTCCCAATATTCACAATCTTCAAAAACGACTCCAACATATTTAACTCCATGAATCTAGGTCATCATCCGATCGAAGCAGTTAATGTGTACGTTAAAAATCGCACGCAATTCTCAATTGAATTGGAGAGAAATATTAAGCGATTTAGTTGTATAAACATTCAACTTAAGTCACGTGTGATTTTAACATTCAAATTGACAGCTTCGATTACCAAGAACTCAAAGTGGCAAATTTAAATAGATTGAAAATTCAAAATCTTACTTTTTAAAGCTGTGGATCCATTATTATTAGTGAGGGATTTAGGGGAGGGGAAATTTTCATATCATAGGAATAGAGTATAGGCCAATTCAAAACTCAGATAGTAAGTTAAATTTTCATATCTCGGATGATAACTAAAAAATTAAATATATTAAGGTCGCGGTTATACAATTAATAGTCACAATTACATACTTATAGGTCACAACATATTTATTGATCACATATTATCAAATTAATTGATCACAAATTATTTTTCGATCACAAATTAAAAATATTATAGGTCACAAATCACAATTTTTATGGGTCAACTTATTTCACGGTCGCCAATTTTCAAAATAGTTGGTCACAAATTATTTTTCAGTTACAAATTATCGAATTTTTATATCACAATTAAATAGTTGATCACAAATAATCAAATAGTTGGTCACACACACCAAACAATCCACCCCCACCCTCAATCCCATTCCACTACCAATATTTGATCACAAATCAATCATATAGTTGGTCACAAGTCGCAATCTCCTCTATGAAAGTGTAGAGTGAAGCCATTGTAAGGTTTAGATCTAAGCCATGGAATAAAAATCCATAAAGCCATGGATGGACGACATAGTCGACGATTTACAAAGCATGAGCTTCAACTCCACCGCCACAGACATCCACCGCTCAACCAGTTATGCTCTTAAACCATCAATTGGACCTGCTCATCCGCCCACCACTTCTACCCTCCCTCTACCATTGTCAAACCTTACTCCTCCATTACTCAATCCAGTGACCCATGCTGGGGGCTCCATCCATCGCTTCCACTGCATGTCCCTCTCTGATCTTTGCTTTCTCCACCACCTCGGCTCCAGAAATATCCGATCCATCTACTTAGCCAACCTAAAGTCATCGTCCTCGAAAGAGCAGCCTAAACCCTCCCTGACGGCTCTCTTCGCAGCTAAGGTTATGGACAAGAAGAAACTCGCAAATAAGGTTATAACAGCTTCACCGAGCAGCGGCACAAGTCATGGGAGAAGAAATTGGGCACGGCGACGGTTTCAGCCAGTGGATAGAGAGAAAGGGGATAAAGTGAGAAAAGAGAGAGAGACAGAAAGGGGGGGGGGGGGGGATAGAAATGAATTAGGGTTTGAGGCTTTAATTGGGTTGGGGATGTGATTATATATATTAATTTATAAAATAATTATTAATATTAAAATATTAGATTGTCGCCTGATTTGTGATTAAATATACTTCATATTTGTTTTTTGAAATGATATTTTTAAATACATGCTCTAGTGTAATTTCCACTTTAGGGGAGACTAGCTAGAATTTAGCTCAGTCCTTCAATTTTTTATAGGTAAAAAATATTTTCTTATAAATAAAAATAAAATTGTGTAATTTTTTTTACATATTAGTTTGATTTAAAAATTTTTGGGTCTGATATAAAAAATATTTTGGGAAAAATTCACAACTCAAGCTTTATCTATCCCAAAATCAAAAATCAGGCCCCAAGGTTTAGAATTGCAAAAATCAGGTTTTTCATGAATTAATTAATTATATTTCACAATTATTATATTAAATTAAATATTTAACTGTAATATAATATAATTAACCAACCCCCACCCCCACCCACCTCTACTCCGGCGACCACTCCGACGACTGTTCTCCGGTCACAGGTCACAGATCAAAAATTTTGTTCACGATTTTTTCATCGGTCACAGATCAAAAAAATTTTAGGTCACAGATTATTTTATTGGTCACAGATCAAAAAAAGTATATGTCACATGTCACATATTTTCAAATTTGTTCGTCACAGACCAACAAATTATCAATTTTAAAGTCACGGATCAATAGCTAGATCACAGACACCACAAAGAACCACCACCATCGTTGACCCCGCTACAACAATACCAAAAAACGACCACAACCACACGGATCACCATCGCGATCGCCACCACAGATCCATCACCACCGCATGAAACATACCACCACAGATCCACCACCTCCACAACCACACATCCCCAGATCTACGACATTTTCCAAAACCAGACCCCATCAACACTTGGTCACAACCACCACCAACACTTGGTCATAAAATCTAATAATCCAAAATAGTAACCCAGACTAGATTTTTAGTCAAAATAATTGATCTACCTCAAATTTGCAAAATGAAAAGATACA